ATCTGAAGAGATAGGTCTTCTCCCTTCATTCCTTTCTTCCGCTGATATTGGTTCTGTGATTGAATGCTTTAATTCATCCACCAGACAATGTGTCCACTCCTCTGCTTCACCTAATTTATACTATCTACTCTTTGATAGCCTGTGTTATAGTTTTCGGCTCTATATTATGCTTTTACATGAGAGTAGCTCTACAAAATGATTTTGTCCTGGGTAGTCCTTTTCTTGCCTAAATCTGGGTGTTTCTTGGAAACTTATAGCCTGGAGGATGAAATGAGAAGTCTATTTCAAGGCTTTTGCAGTACATTGCCTGTTCTTATAGCAAGTCAAAGGCCACCAGATAACAAATGAAGTGAATTGAACAGACTAAGAAGCTGTAGTCCTCAAAATCATATTTACTGCAGACCAAAACCCAGCACTGTGATTACTGAAGTTTTACATTTGTAGATGACAGTTTCAGTTTAGCCCCTGTGAAATGCACCACTAAAACCACGCTAATCCCTCTGAGATTATCAACCACTTCAGTATCTCAGCCCATTTAGCAGATCTGACTATTAAACTGTAAATGCACTTTAAGCAGGGTTTTCTCACAGCCTCTGAGCACTGACATCTCCCCTCTGTGGTGCAGCTGGGAGGAGGCACAGCTCATTTGTACTTTTCTGAGCATTTGCTCTCCCCCAAACTGAGATGATCTGAACAACTTGGCTAAATTGAACCCCTCAGGGGGCTGGTCTAGTGGCCTTCTGCCTGGGTTCAGGCTGACCTGTGCTCTCTGAGGCTGTTCTAAACTGCTTTAAATATGCTTTTGAGGGCTTTGGGTCTTCAACTGCATGTATGTTCACGTGTGCAGGGAGCTGGGACTGTCAACCACAGAGGCTTAGCCTGTAATGCTGCATTGACCTTGTTACAGCATCTTTTCTTACTGCAAAGCTGCCAGTGCACATTGCTCGCTGTCAGACATGGGCCCATCGAAGCAAATCCCCGTTTCTGAGAGCTCCTGTGTGGCTTATTGCCAGCTCTTGTTTCCCCATGGAAGGGGATGGTGGATCTCGGGGGTCATACTGCTGTAATTAGTTGGACTGTATTGGAGCAGTGGGGGGAGATATCAGAGGGATCTCTGCTTGTCTTCGCTGAAGCATCATTCCAGGGACAAAAAAATCCCAACAGAACAAACTAGCTTTGGGGTACTTAGCATGCTTTTTTCCAGCTGAGGGGCTTCAGTTGGTTATTTTAAGCTGGGCAACAAGTGTCGTTGGACCTGGGAGACTAAGGACCAACAAAAGCTCCTGTAGTGCATTGAAAAACACCCTTCCAGCAGTATTTTCACTAAAGGGGCTGGTGGCTTTTCTCCTTTTTTTCCCTTTATTTTTTTGTTACTGTTTGTGCAAAGGCAGGGCTTTGATTTCTCCATTTAAATACTTGAATTTGCTTGTCAGCAGCTAGAGTTGACTCAGGAAGGATTCTTCTTGCGGGCTTTTTAAGCAGTCTCAGAGTCCAGAGGTCTGCAGCATCCTGAGCAGTCTGTGCTTCTGGGATCTTTGCTGCACTAAGCTCAAAGGCCACATCTCTTCTTTTCACTACAGTCTTTCCATTGTGCATTTCTGTACTGCCCTGCTCTGGTGGGAGTAATGTGGTCTGGGGTTGGATTCCCTCATCTCCAGCTTCTGAACAATGACCTGTGCTACTTTTCCTACCACTGCTAAAGGAGAAGCCTTTCAGTAGCTGTTTGTAGCTGCCTCTGCTTTCTCTTTCCAGGCTTGCAAAGTGGGAGGTGTAGTCCTCAAACCAGCACCAGATACATGTCTCCTTCTTCTTCACATTGCATCTAGCTGCAAACTCAACGCAGTGAGAGACTCCAGCATTATCTGAATTACAAAGTCATCCTATTGTCAAGCCTTTTAAGTGTCAAGTTGTCTTCAAAGCAAAGGCTGTGACATTCACTGAAGAACAGCATCATTTCAAAGTCAGGAGGGTCTATTCTTAGCACATCAGTCAAAAAAGGAAAGAAAAGTCTTTGGGGAAAAAAAAACCATCAATTTCACTAAAGTGAACCTTGTCAGAATGATCAATTCCTCTTCCATCCGGCTTGACCTGGTCCTTGCTGCATGCCAGAGGACAGAATTTGATGACACAGCACAATAAAAGAAAATTGCCAGATCTCCTTGTAATTAATTCTCTTGCAGTGCAGGTTTGGCACAGAACAATTTCTCTCCCAAGTGATAAGATCACTGGTAGCTCGGTTTGGTTTTTCCTTTTTAAGGAACATTGCTCCTCAGTTAGTTGAAGAATTGATGCTGCTGTGTAATAGCTACCTCCTGGTATTTTATTCTCGCTGTTTAAAAACCTCTTCCTGCTAGACCCCAACAGTTAAGAGAACATCATAACCCGGAGGGACATCGGGGCTGTGCTGTCTTCTCCTGCTTTTCTGCACCCCCTCAGATCCCCCATGCACTGGAGAGCCCAGCTACACCTCCATCTTCATGTCACATCCAGCCAGTGTGACTCCTGTACAGTGCTTTACCCTGTATGACTTCTCACTGGAAGACTTTAATCTGAGTTCATAACAAATAAATAAGCGTGGTCTATAACCTGACCTTGAAACCTACTTGTACCTCATGGAAATTATTATTCTTGAACTAAATAGACTGTCTTGTGAAGTGTTTATACTAAAACATGCCTTACAAATGATTTAAGAGAGAAACATAATTCATTTAGCACACTAGAATCTAAGTAAAGACACCTGTGCTGTTTCTTCAAAGCTGCTCCTTCTAAACTCTGCTTATAAGGAGCTTCTGCTGGTGGGCTCTTTGTATTCAGGGACTGAGAGTCTGCAAAGAGCTTTTTCCAACCTTCCTGAAAAAGCCATGCAGATGCCTTTGCATCTTTATTTAGATGGGGAGCAAAGTCTTAACTATCACTAAAACTTTCCTATTTTTGAAGAAGGGATTGAATTCCCTGGAGGATGACGCTGGAAGGAGCATGTTATCAGAGCGCACATCTCTGTGTGCATCCTGACTGTCTCCAGAGAGACCATCATTAACGTGCTGCTGTCTCTGTCTTTCTCTTCAGTATTCAGGCAGTGATGATCATGTGAAAATTACTCACACTTCTGACTTGAGAAAACTTTCTTAGCCCAGAAATTAATCCAGTATCAAGGGAATTAGAAATTCAAATGGGGGGAAATTATACACTCTGTATGTCAATACAGCAACCCTTCTAAAAGCTGCAATCAGTCATATCGGCATCAAAGGTGCTGGTACATTTCCTTGTCCAACAGATAAAGGAGAAGGTGAATCAGAACAAGAAACTTTGCTGTGCTGCCTGGAGAGGAGGGCAGCCTCATCCGAAAGCACAGACCCGGAGCTGGTGCTGGAGCTTCTCTGTGTTGCGATCCATGGCTATGCACAAACCTGTTTGTTAATCTTGCCTGTGTTTAGCTGCTGCCCAGGCTACACTGCAAGGCAGGTTCTGTCTCTATGACTATGTGCTGTTTCAGCACAAGTGCTTTCTCTCGAAGTCTTCAGTCATTTAAATGGGCTGGTGCACTACCCCCTTAACAAACCTCTGTGGGAGTACTCCCGTCCTTCCTGTGCATTGACACCCAGCATGCTCCTGTTGCAAGTTAAATCCAGCTACCTTATGCCTGCGTGCAGCCTCACATTAGGCAACTTGCTCTGCAGATCATTTAAATTCATTAAATGAATGTAATGATCCGTACTGGTTTCCCACTGTCCGGCTGCTGACTGAACAGTGGGTGGTACAGAGTGGATTTCCATTATGATAACTTTAGACTTCACCATCTATATTATGGTGTATGACTAACCAGATAAACAACTCTCCCTCAAAAACACCTCCCCAGATTTCTGCAGTTTGATGTGTCACACGTAAGGGGCCAAACCTAACGCAGGTATGTGTAAAACCCAGCAGTGACTTACGGAGGCTTCAGCTCGTTCCTGCATCATTCTGTCTCTCTGCCACTCTCCTTATGTGTTTTGACTGCCAAATGTTGTGGTTTTGTAGGTCTTGTATCTCAGCTCTCTGCTGTCAGCTCCCTGAGATGCAGGGAGTAGGCACGGCCCAGATGCTTGCCTGAAGCAGAAATAGCACATCTTTCTACTACTATCCTCCATCAGCTCCCCTGAGTCTGGAATTCCTGGCAGGCAGCATTCCAGGGGGAGAATAAAAACCCCAGACCTTTAGTTTGCAGTTGTTGTAAAAACCTGGTTCTGGTTGTGGTGTAATTCAGCTGACTGAAGTAGAGGTACAATGAATCTGCTATACTTAGTGAATCAGTGAGCTTATAGTGGTAAAAACTGCCCAGGTTTCTGGCTGTTCAGTACTCCCCTCACGTTACCAGGGGCTTTTGTGTATTCCCAGTGTTTGGTTTGTGTTACAGTCTGCAGCTTTGAGGGGGGTATGTATGCTGATAAGTGTATGCTTGTGGATGGATGTTTTCAAAACTCCAGAGAGGCAACAGGAACCAAGCAGCCAGAAAGATAAACAGCTCCTGTGATGATTGAAGGGTACATGGGTATATGTGTGTATTTATTTCAGACTGGTTTGTAGCAAAGGTGAGCAATAAAAACCCCATTGCTTCTCATGTTCAAAATGCACCAGTGAGCTAGCTTGGATCTGCATGGGTGCCATAGGGTCATAGAATGGTTTGGGTTGGAAGGGACCTTAAAGCTCATCCAGCTCCAACCCCTGCCATGGGTAGGGACCCCTTCCACTAGAGCAGCTTGCTCCAAGTCCCTGTGTCCAACCTGGCCTTGAGCACTGCCAGGGATGGGGCAGCCACAGCTTCTCTGGGCACCCTGTGCCAGCACCTCAGCACCCTTGCAGTGGACCATAGGCAGTTATAACACGTGAAGTTGAGCAGGTGGATGGCGCATGCAGGCTGCCCTCTGCAGTGCTCTCTATTGTCCCTGGTGTGTCACAGGCCCCATGGTGACAGCAGGGGCTGAGCTGTCCTGAGCTTCGGTGGTTGGGGGGGGGTCTCTTACCTTCTGTGCTCTCCGCTTGTCGGCTCTCTGGTTCTGGTGGTAAATTCGGCTGAAGTTGGAAACAATGACTGGAACCGGCAGAGCAATGACCAGCACCCCGCTCAGCGAGCAAATGGAGCCAAATATCTTCCCAGCAATTGTCTTGGGCACCATGTCACCATAACTAGAGAGGGGAAAAGAAAAGAGGGAAGCCCCTCCTTCAGACAAGTGCAATGGCACCAAAAGCCTTTCATCGTTCCCTGAGTGTGCAGCAACAGGAGCATCCAGGTTAGACACTGGAAATCCACCACGCAGGCAACAGTTCACGTGGTGCTGTCATCCTGGAGATGACAGCTCGCAACTTGCTTTGGCCATGAATTAACCTAAACCAAAGCAAGGCACTTGGGTTGCAGAAGAGCCATGCCAGCTCAGGCAGCTGCTGGGTACACGGAACTCGTGTTCTCGCTCATGTAGTACCTACCTCTCTGTAGATGAGTGCTAACAAACTGAAAACTGTATGTCTGCTTGTGAATGGGGTCATTCCCTTGTACCCAGGTGCAAATGGGACTGCTTTACACTTTGAAACCCCAGCAGTTCCCTCTGCAGTCAGAAGTTTGGGATTCATTCAAAATCTGGCTTTGCTAAAAAGTCAATTCTCACAAATATGAGACCAGAAGAAATACCTTCAGACAAACCTCTGTGCTGCCTTTGACCCAGCAATCTCCATTAACAGCTGTAATTTGCAGGTTAAATAATACTAGCAGAACCCAAGATGGAATATTCCGTTTTGCACAGATGGAGGAAGATGCTGGCTTAGGTTCTGTGGGTTCTGCACCGCAGAAATCACTACTCTGTGATGTGCTGTTTGTGGTTTTGCTTTGTGTATTGCAAAAGCTTTCTGCAGCAGTTTTAAACTTAAGGTGAAGCTTCAATGCCACCCTTCTGTAGAGAAAACCACAGTGCTTTGCCTTATAGCTACTCACCTGCGCTGTAAAAAGGAGCATGGCTGTTACTCCCTCATGGAACATACGGTACTAAAACTGCTGTGAGACTCAGGCACCAGGTTGACTACTCTGGCTCACTGAATGCTGTGTTATAGCCAAGGAAACGAGGATTTTGAGTTCTGGTTTACTGCTTGGCCTGACACAATCCCCATGTTGCATCCCAGGTGGTTGGGCCTCTTAATTCTAACCCACTGCCATCACTCACGATTCCAATGTGTCCCAGCATAGCTTCTGATATCCAGAGGGCACCAGATGTTGGCAATGCAAACATCACGCCCTGTGTTGAGCAGATGCAGTGATAACCTCCATGGGGAGCTCTTCTCCCCTGCAGTTTGCCCTCTGGAAGTGAGTGCTTTCTCCTACAAATGGTCGATAGGCAAGTAAAAACCCCTGCAGAAAGCTGGATGTGGATTGCAGCGTGTTCTGATCATGTAACAGAAAGCTTGTTTGTACCTAATGCCCCTGGAGTCTGATAGGAACATGATTAGCACAGCCACTAACTGAATTTGCAGGCCCTGTTCCGTGAGCTGTTTATTACATGCTTGTGTACAAGTGTGTATTAATATCAATATTCATTGAAGTCATTTTCATCTGGAGGAGAGGGAAAAGCGAGCAGCCAAGTAACAGCAGGTTTGTATACAGATCTGTGGTACTGGAATGACTGTGTAGAAACCATGAGGGGCAGGAATTCCTGAGCTACCTCTGTGGCTGGAGAACACGATGTATTCTGTGACGTCCCACTGCAAGCAGGCTTATGTGACCTGTCTATACCCTGGAGCAGAGGAGAGGACCTGGGCACTGTGACCTGCTGAAGTTCTGCAGCACACAGGGAAAGGATGCTAAACCAAAACCTGCCCTAAGGAAGGCATTCCTTGTTTGGAAGGAATGTGGAGAGTCCTCTAGTTGCTCTCAGATGGTGTTTGGGATTTGTGTGCTTTGAGATGTTCTAGTGTTGATGCAGCAAATATCGGAAAGCAAAATGATTTACAGTCGAAGCTTTATTTTTACCTTTGATGTTGGTGTATGACTAACAAAAAGCTTTTATGGGAATTGAGTTGAGCCTAAGAATAATTTACATCCAAGGAGAAAACCAAATATTTCAAACCACCTCCTTTATCAGCTGAACTTCCGCCCCCAATCCAAGAACTCCTTGGTATGAGGGGCTAAGTAAGAGCAGAACTCATGGCACGTTAACTGCTAGCTCCTGGAAGTCTCGTGTGTTCTCCTAGGCTTGGGCTGGACAGTATGGCCAAACACACAGGTGAAGGATGATCATCATCTGGCTATAACACTCTTATGTTCTGGGAAAGGCTCAGTTTCACACCAAGTGACAGGTTTTCTATGGCATTTTCAGTTTTGGTTTTGTGCATGTATTTGGTTTGGTTTTGGTACAAATGCTTCCCTATCTAAGGCTTAATCATCTCAAGCAGAACTCTTCTCCTGCCTTTACCCGCATTAAACCCCCTCAGAATACCTCAAATCAACAGAATGCTATTCATGTCTATTAACTTGGTAGCTGCTGCTTCATGCAGACAGAGTTTCCGAGCTCGTGCTAAGTGACCAGATCTCCTGCCTCATTTAACGGCGCTCTAAAAAGAAATCTTTCTTTCTTTTCTCCTGCCGTCCCTTAGCACAATAAGGCTGAAAATTAATCATATGCCTCAAGCATGATCCCAGTGAAACCCCGGAGTGCTGGGAGAAAGCCCCTCTGTGCAGTGGGGAAAGGATAATAGGAAGTGTCTGGCTCACAGTCTGCCTTGTAGAGTTTTATTCTTACATGCAGGCTGTTAGCTCATTGCTTGGGACTTCAGAGAAGGCGCCTTAAAACGCCGTCAGGAAGATCAAATTGTCTTGGAGGATTTTGCAGGGGAGATGTAGAACTTCATTTGCAAAACTATTAGAGACAGTGCAATGAGAAATCCTGCACTGACTGGAGCAGGCTGCACAGGAGCAAGACCTGACACTCGTAATGCTGACTTCTGGATCGGCTGCAGCGTTACCTGTTGGATTTGTCTCTCTGGGTTTACATGGCACCTCGTGCTCTTGCAGCCACATTCTCTGCCTTTACTGGGCTGCCCTGCAATGGGAGTGATGCTGATGTTTGGAAATGTCTAAGCTTTTTGTTCAGAGTAAAACCCAGCTGGAGCTTGATCTAGATCCAGTTGCACTTCACGAGAGGCCTCCCTTTGACTTTGGCTATGATGGGGTTTGGAATGAACCTATAAAGTTGCATTTGGTCTACTCCTATATTGCCATTTGCAGCTACTGCAATATTAATTGCTGGAGTGACTGGTTTTATCCCAATGGCACCATGAGGTACTAATGGCCTTATGGCATATTTGCAAGAGATATAATACCAAATGAACTCATCTATTGGATTTCAGTTACTACTGATTGGGCATGTAAAACCCCAAACTTCTTTTTCCCAGACTGGCATGAGAGAACTCAACTTTCCTATTGATTTATTTAGTAAAAGGCAACTTGTCACCTAAAAAATTCCTTCTGTGTAGAGTGCATTTTAAGTAATTCATCAATAATCTCATTAGAGCAGCAAGAAGATAGAAGAGCGGGGTAGTGATTAACATTCAGAGGGTCTAACGGGATGTTTGAGCCTGTAATAAAACAACAGGAGGCTGTGAATTCAGTAGCCTGGTAATGTGACCTCTAGTAAATCACTGCAGCTTTCTCTACCTCGGTTCCCCATTTATGGAATGCAATTAGTTCTTTCTTCTTTGCCTCCTTCATTAAGTAGGTGGTAGCTGCTTCAGAGCAGGAGCTGTCCCATATGTTCTGTATATACCCAACACCCAGCAGTGCCCCCTAAGTGCTACTGCATTAATAATGTTAATATTACCAGGCAGTGGTACAGAAATGTGGGGTAAACACAGCCTGTATGTAGCTCCAGGCTTGTGCAGAGATCAGTACTCAGCATGGGCTGGATGAATTGTGGAACATGCCTGGAGATAAGCATCTTTCCTATTTATTTTGCCAGGAATTAGATGGCAACAGATTGAGCCAGTGTTCAGTTGCTGAATTCACCTTTGGGAGGAGCTGCCCTTGCTGCCAGTCCTTGCAGTGCTCTCTCTGCACCCTGATAGATTCTGGAGCCTCCACACACGCATCCCACGTTTCCAATGACACAGCTTCAGTTCATCCCCCTTTTCGTCTCCTGATGTCCCTTCAAAGCCTCATTTCCTAACAAGGAAACACTGGGAACGCTGAGACTTGTACTTGTAAAGCTCAAGTAAAGCCTTAAACAGGCAAACCAAGAAAAATACAAGATAGGAAATGACTTTTAAGTGGCCACTCTTTAGACTGGAAAAGACTCTGAATACAGAATTTCATCACTGTCTTCTTTGTCATGTGGCTTCTGTCGTCTTTGGGTACAGAAGGGGTTGTATGTCACTCACCCTGATTAGCAGCTATTAGCTGTGACAGCACAATGTGCTGGTGTTTTTGTCTCTGTCAGTAGGGAGAACGCTATCAAACAGAGGTCACTGCTTCGGAGTTCTGTTTTAGCAGCAGAGGTGGCTGGACACTGCTTAGCTCCCCAGCTGGAGACAGCAATAAATAAGGTGCTGAACAGCTCATCAGATGACTTGCTCTAAAAATAGCCTCTCAGCAGCATCTCTGATGATCCCATCTCTCCGTGCAATGTTCACAGCCCCAGAAATAGGGAATTGTAGGAAAAAAGCTGGTAGATCCTATGGAATAGGGACACGGGAAGGTGCTACAGCAGGAACAACTCTGTGGAGACAGTGAAATAGGTTTTTCAGAGGTTTCCCTTTTTCAGCAGCCTTTTTAAGTGTTGACTTCTCATCCAGTATCAGGTGTGGACCTGAGGAGGGGCTTCTGTTCATAAATCACCATTAATGTCCAACTGTTGTCTCCATTGGTTCCTCCAGATGCAGAAGAGACAAGAGTGCAACTGCAACCTGATAAACCTGTATCCCAGCTCCTTCCTTACCAGTAAAAGGCCTGGCTTTGGACAGAGCATCAGGTCCAGCACCCTCCTGTCTCTGGAGCTGGCTGGTGGGCGAGTGGTCTATACCCTCAGATGACTTAGTTCAGGTCACAGAGGACATGGACATGGGGACAGCTGGCTCCTGGATCGGTCAGAAGGGTGCCGTGCTTTCTCTGGTGGCTGTGTTTAAGCAGTCAGGGGACATTTCCTGCCTAG